TTACCCTTGGATGATCTAGGGTCAGGCAAGGACCCGTTTAGTGATCCGAATCCAGTGGATTTGGGTCGTTACATAATTACACATAAGATAATATGTAATTAAAATAAAGAATCACTAGGAAGAATTAAATCAACAATCATAAGGCTAACCACTAATCACAATAATATATATAAATCCCCAAAAATAGAAATACAAGGGTTTAGATTACACAATACTTAGGGCTCATCCAAGCCCTAAGTGAAGATCTAGCCCATGGTGGTAGAGGTGGTCAAGGTGCCAATAAGGTCCTCCTCTAAGCATGGCAACATCATCATCTTTTTCTTCTTCTTTTAAGCTCTTTAGAGAGAGTGTGTGTAGATGTTCTTCAAACCCTTGTGCCTCCACTTTCCCCTCTTCTTCTAACCCTAATACCTGACTTTCTAAAGAGAGAAACTAACTATTACAATGTAAATTAAAACATTATCTTTACAAATGGTTCAATTGGCCTTTTATATGTGGCCTTCGGAGTCCCAAACAAGTCAAAAATACGCCTAAAAATGGTCCAAACCCATAGCCCACTCGTCCATGAAGTTTAAGTCCGAACTGATACTAAAACTGCTTTCAGCACGATCATTCACATGTATGTTCGATCGTTCAAAGCTCGCTCGATCGATTAAAGCTGTGGTTCGATCGATCATAGCATGTCGGTGCATAATGTGGATAATGACAAAAGCTGAGATATTTATGGGGATAAGGGCAAAAGTAGTTATGAGGATAACATCAAAAGGTTTAATCGTTCAGAGCTCGATCGTTCAGAGTTTGATCGTTTAGGGTTCGATCATTCAGAGCATGCAGTTTTTAGCATCAGCCTCCTTTTGCTCCAACTTCTCACCAAGACTCAGTTTGACTCCAAAAAGGCCTTAATGGATCGAAATTAGCCCGTTTGAACCTTATTGACCTGAAATAGACAAAAACATAAATTAGTACTAAAATGGGAAAGTAAGATAGATGAATGGACTAAAATACCCTAACTTAGGTGCTAAAATGCATCATATTTGAGCACTCATCAAGAATGGACAATCAAATTCAAGTATGAATTGTCTACCTAACTGACAAATAAACTAAGTGTAGCACAACCTATCAAGTCTAAGCATTACCCATCAAATTAGTCACAATTGTAGCACACATCAATCTAGAGAATAATGGAAGTTACAACAATAAGCCATGAAATATCAAATTCAAGTATAGATTGTCTACCTAACCAACAAATAAACTAAGTGTAGCTTAACCCATCAAGCATAAGTATAATCCATCAAATTAATTGACAAATCCATTCAATGAAAACTATGCATAGCCATCACTAGATCCTCATCTAATAACACATAGACATGCAACCATCTAGAGAAACTAGTGTAGAAATCAATTCCCAAATAATCACACATAAGACAACATGTAATCACATAAAGAATTAATAAGAAGAATTAAACCAAAGAAATCAAGAGACAACCCAAGATTCATCAAATTCATAAGGCTATAACATTAATCACGAGATATTATTCCCCAAAAAGAATGAAAGATAAGGATTTAGATTACAAGCTTAGGGCTCATTCAAGCCCTAAGAAGAAGCCTAGCCAATCATGGAGGAGGTGGATGTGGTCATGGAACCCTCAAGGGCTATCTCTAAACATGGCTCCATCTTCTTCTTTTTCTTCTTTGTTGAATTTTAGAGAGAGAAAGGGAGAGTAGATCTAGAAAGATGTTTTTCCTTGTGCCTCCACTCTCCTCTTTTCTTCTAACCCTAATTTTTAACTTTTTAGAGAGAGAAACTAAAAATTACAATTTAAAATAATTGATACAATGAAAGATTGAAAGATAAATGAAATGGTTCAATTCCCCGGCACTTTTATACAAGTCCATTGAAGCTTAAATTGTCAAAAAATAAGCCTTCAAAATATTTAATCCTGCAGCCAAAAGTTAGGTGAAGTTTGGGCGTGTTCGGGAATTAAACAGCTCACTGCCAACAAAATGGTGATTGATCGCCAAGTTTAACGATCGATCGTCAATTTCGGCGATCGATCATAGATGGCGTGGCAATCCTATCTTGACAACTGGCAACCTTATCCTCTTAGCTGGCGCTGACGTGGCACTACGAGAGATCGCCAATCTCGACGATCGATTATGACTTTGACTATTGATGACGTGGCAGCCTTATCCAATGTTAAAGTGGCTGCAATGGATCGAGGACTTCGGCGATTAATCGTGGCTTTCGGCAATCGATCGCATATGCTCCAGTTTAGTTTTTTTTACTTTTTTTTAATTTTCTGCTTGACTCCAAAAAGGGCTTAATAGGCTATTTTTAGCCCATTTGAACCTTGTTGACTTGAAATAGACAAAAATACAAATTAGAACTAAAACGGGAAAGTAAGATAGATGAATGGACTAAAATACCCAAGCTTAGGTGCTAAAATGTGTAACATTTGAGTACTTATCAATCCCAACCCATTCTATCAGTCAACGGTAGCAGTTTGCATGGAAAGTTATCAATCTTCATCTGATGCACAAGCATACAACCAAGTGTCCCACGTCTTTGATGATTCCCACTTTGTATTCTCCTCATATAGATTACATATGTATCATGCATATATGTGTCTGTCATTGTGCATGCATGTTTTTCCTTAATTTTAGTAACTTCTCTTTTGGTTAGACTTTCCTTTTGGTACACTTCTATGGCATCACGTACTCCACGGTTAAGTAACCTCTTTTCTGTGTATATAAAATTGGCATACATATACATATATATATTTATTTATACACTTCCCATTTTTCGGATGATCACCAATGTCCCTATTTTTAGAAGTTTTTTTTGACTTGGCATGAAGATTTGATGAACTTGGACATAATGGCTGAATATCTGTTGAAACTTCCCTACAAAATGGGTGAAATTACAGCACCACATTTCCACTTCCCTTCTATTACTCAGTTAATCCATCTTGCGAAATCTTAGGGGTTACCATGTGGCAATCGCATGCCATATAGACTAAAACTACTCTGACGCCACATAGCAACATCTAACTGGCTCCATTAAAAAAAACTAACTGTAACGTAGTAGTGCAGACCGAGTACTAACATCCTGGTTATTTGATCTCAAGGATTTTAATAAGATATGGCAAGTTTTATGGAACTCGCCATATGTTCTTCTCTGATTGGTCTAAACAACATTGTTTCCTTTAATCCTTTTCACAAATCCCATGTGGCAATGTCTGATAGCTCCACGTGTCATGTCTTGAATAGTCAAGTGAGATTGAAATCTCTATGCAATCTTTACTTTCAAGAGATCGGTGGGAGATTGTGAGAAATTGATCTGGTGTGGCAGGTCTTATGAGACTCTCCATATTCTTGCTTAATGGATTCCATGTGGCGGAACACAATTGGCTTAATGGTCTTTGCCCTAGATTACTACGTGAAGTCATATATGTGTAATAATGCTTGTGACCTTCTTTTCCAAGTTTGTTAGAATTGTGATATAATAGGGCAAGCTCTATTAAAACTTGCCATATGCTTCTTTCTTATTGGTAGACAATTTCTTTCTTAATTCTCACCTTATGTGTGAGTTCATGTGGCAATACTTGGATGCGGTGTCCCTTATTTGATTTAAGTAAACTTGAATATATGATTTTCTAATTTAATTCTCCTTTTCTTTGAACTTGCCATATTTCGTATTTTCATTTGTCCAAAAATAATGAAATAAACACTTTATTTTTCAAGTTTTTAGAATTGAATACAGCCTAATCAGGTACATTCAATCTTCAATACTCCAATGATTAAAAAACTCAATTTTATCTCTTGAACTATGTGTCAATTTCTTTTCTTCATCAAGCTGCACCAACTACAAGAAAAGACCCCATCCACCCCACTCGTTTACTTGTTCAAAGTATGGAATTCAGTGTAGGCTGTGTAGCATAGCTCAAAGTGCTGTTGTTGTTGCATTTATAATCACCATTATCCCTGGACTATTAAACATTCCTTTACTTTTTATATTAAGATCATTTCAAGTGTGACTCAAAGGTATTCCATACATGTTTTCAAGCCATTCTGAAAAATTATTGTATTGAAACTCATCTCAGTTTCATAATATACTGACTCAATAACTAAGTACTACAATTAACATAAAGAATACATTAAAGAATGAAACGACACTTTAGAATTGAAGTTGAAATGAAAGGAAATTTTAATATTTAATTCCTAGACAATTTGATATTTCTAGACTCTCATATATATATATATTTTCAATGGTAATATACTTACGGACCCATAACTTGAATTCTTACTAAATTATTTTAGGAGGCAGATGAGACACTATGATATAACTTTTAATGACATCACTATGATATAACCTTTAATCTTGAAGGATTGGAAATGCAAAAATTCAATCCTATCACATAAACATTGGTATATACTATATACCAATTTATTCTCATCAAAAATCATTTTTTTTTTCAAAAAGAATTAAGAAAGTTAGGTGCGACCTGGAAGATTTAAAATAATTTTTATTTATTTTTTATTTTTTAAAATCATAAAAATATTATATATTTTCACGTGATAAAAAAAGGTTACATCTACAAAAATTCAACATTATCATTAAATATATAACTCCAACATTTTAATTTTTTTTCAGATCATATCATGATCTGAAAAAAAGATTAAAAGATTCGGGTTCGAATTCAGATTCTATTCAAATTCATTCAGGTGATGCTAATTTAAGTTTTCGAATTGATAGATGAGAGTCTAGAATAGTGTTTGCAATCAAACAATTACCACGCGGAATAAACTTTGTACAGACAATAGATGCAAATTTGGGCAAATTGGAGGTCCATCACAGATCAAAAAAAGGCTCATTTGTAGCCGTCTGATGATACTCTCTATCGCTCTCATTGTATAGTCATGTCTGCCAGTAGAATAGGGGAAATTTAGAGAGAGAAACAGGTGTTGGACCCACTGTACGAAAATAGATTGATTTCTTCACACAGAAAAGCTCTGATTTCTCACATGCTTTGTGTTGTGTTAGTGTTCTTCTGATCCCCACCATCGATAACTCCTATCCAAGCATTTACTTCTACTACTGCCTTCCAAGTTCCAATACTCCTGCTTCCGAGTTCCCCCATATACTCTCTCTCTCTCTACAGAAACCTCTCTCTCTACGTAAACTCTCTCGAACTGTCTTTCTCCTTCCTGTCTCTCTATTGTCTTCATTGATCGGTGAAGGAAGAGTAGGGATCTGTAGAGGCACCGACATATTTGCAGTTGTTTGAAGGTGTCGGCAATCGATCTTCAGGTAAAGTCCTGTTGAACTTTGAAGGAGTTTTTGGTTGTTATGCTTGTAGTTTTTTGGATTTTCTTTCTAACGTATTAGATCTGGTTTCGCATTGAATGTTCTAAGTAATTTTACTAAGGTTACACAAAAATGCAAGATTGGTAGTTGTTTCTGAAACTGTATTTTGTGTTTTTTTTTTGTCTGTTACTATAATTTGTTGCATGATTTGTGGGATAGAATTAGAAATGAGCACATTGGGGAGATGGTTGAACACCCATTATAGACTAAATGAGAGAATCAATTAAGATGGTTTGAACATGTGCAAAGAAGACCACTAAGTACATATGTTAGATAGAGTGACAAGGTCCACATTGACTGTAATGCTAGAAGCTCAAAATTAACATGTGTAGAGTTAGTAATGGAAGACATGATAAAATCTGGTTTGACTAAAGCTGTAACTTCAGATAGAGCACAATGTAAAAATATTATTCATGTAGCTGACTCAAGCAGTTCGGAAAAGGATTTGCTGAGCTGATTTGGGAGAGAACAAGGCTCTCTGTATTGAGATGTATGCGGGTCTGTGTCAATCTCTGGATTATACGTGTTTATTGTTTAGATGCATGTATGAACTGTTTTAATACTAAAGACATAATTATGCAGGATAACACTAGATTTTCTTCTAGTAATAGGTAAGTTCTAGAAAACATACAATTTTGCTCACTGATAGAGGCTATGATAAGCTTGTGGGTTTAGTATTCTGAAAATTTGAACAGAGGTTATCAGCTTTAAGAATTGAAAACAAGTTGTAATTTACTTTGTTTTTAAATTGATTCATCGTTTCTTGGGATTTCTAGACATCTAAGTATTTTGTGGTTGTGATGTCAAAATAAATACTGATGTTTTGCTGGAAAGAGATTGAATTGATCAAATATGGTTGTTTTTGCCCTTGTAATGAAGGTAAAGAAAACATTACCCTCATGAAACGATATAGAATTCACTTTATTCTTGACCGCTTTCCTCGTGACCAACCTCTTGCTTCTTTGTGCGATCCCTTCTTAAAATCTTTATTTATCTCTTCAATCTTATGTTATTCTACCAATATGGCTTTGGAGTTACACGTGGAACCTTGGAGTTCGTCGATGGCGAACAACATTGTAGAAAACCCAATGTGCAGTCCGTTGAAAGCGCGAGGTCTTAGGCAAGGCTTATTGATGTCATTCTTATAGATAACCTTGCTTGCTTTAAGTGCCCAGTTCGTACTCATCAAACAAATCGTTGATACCATCAAACTCTTTTTTTTGGGGAGGTCAGTGTAATTTCTGAAAACATAGGAAAGTTCCACATAATTTTGCTGAATCTCTTGGAAGGCTGTGTAATTTATCCAAAAGCAAGGTGAAATCATTGGTCACTTATTCCTTCCCCCCCTCCACACCCCCCCCACCCCCCCCCCCCCCCCCCCCCCCCCACACACACACACACACACACACACTAACAAACAGAGACAGCAAGTCAGGTGCAACACTAAAAAACATAAAAATGGAATACGTGAGAAAGAGCTACATGAGGAAGCCCTCACTTGCCCTCAATTGTTGGAGTAATAAACTATGAAATCAAACATTCGATCCAACAATTGAGAACACAATCTTATTGTGGGAGTGCCCTCATGATAAAATATACTCTACAGTAAATGTGACTATTTTCTCATTTTTGATACACTTAACCATAGACGTATAATATTATCATTAAATTAATAACTGCAATCCTTCAAAAAGTGTTTTTAAAGTTCATTGTAACTCAAAAAAAGAGTTAAGGCTCTAATCAGATCAGATAAATGAATGGATTTCAAATGAAGAAATTTGAGTTTAAAAATAATATTGCTCTTTGAAATTGGATTTAGAAACTCAAAAGGGAATATTATATTAGAGGTAGTAGACATTTTATTTCAATATTGTGTAGTTAAATTCCTTGCTGCCAGATTTCAAATAGCTTCTTTTAAATTTGGAGGGGATTAGTCTCACCCAAAGGGTGTCTCCATAGGTTGTTTGAGACTTACGACACCCTTTGGGTGAGACTAATCCCCTCCAGATTTCTAAGGGAACTTAATGGAGTTTAGAATGGCTTTGGTTCAATTCTCGTAAGGGTAAAAATTAAGGTAAATAGAAAGATGCAATCCTTAGATGTTCCATGATCAATTTTCTTTCATTTTCTTATTCAAAATATAGAGTCTAGTCTAGGTGGCTCATTTACCTGTTTTTGTTAGAAAGTGAGCTTTCTTCGATCATGACGTTTTTACCTTTACCATTGGGATCAGCCTGGGCCTGTTCCTCTATCACGAGTGGAACAAACTGGACATTGAAGCGCTCTGTCAGCATCTGGAAATTCTCAGATAGCTGCTTGAAAGCCTCTGGAGTGATGACCGGATTGTCATTAGTGGGATTGTCAGTGCTTGTATCTTGTTAAACCATTATTTACTTTTTATATCAAAGGATAAAGTCAAGGCAAGTATGGCTAGGTCTTGCTCCTGTCAAAGGTTCAAATGGAGCGTAGCATACCCTACTAGATGTTCCATACATGCTTTCAACCCTTTCTAAAAAAATAAAATTTGAACCAAAATATTTTCTTATTTCAAGCCAATTTCTGAATATAAAACTTGTTTTTAAGTGTCTTGACACAATCTAACTAGATATTAAGTGACCCCTATGTATTAATCTATCAATAATCTAATTTACTTATCAAAAAAAAAAAAAAAAAAAAAAAAAAAACTATCAATAATCGAATTAACCAGTAAGCCGTGTTATATAAATGAACAGTATTCTAGCTTACTAAAAACATTTAGTTTTTCTTTTGAAAAGCAAGGAAGTCGGGTGCGACAATAAAAGTCTTAGGGCCTGTTTGGCAACCTTTCGGTTTTCGTTTCTGTTGTAAAGCATAAAACGAAAGCGAAGAGATAAATAAAGCAAGTAGAACACACAAATATTATGTGGTTCAGCCATTAGGGCCTACATCCATCGCACAAAAAGCCCAAAGGGCTACATCACTTTTATAATACTCTCTCAATTCATACACTATAATGGTGGAGGCTCATTTATATAAGAGAAGAAATAATGATAATGGAAAGAATTAGAAAATAGGAAAACGAGGAGAATTTTTCTCCACTGATACCTCTAGTAACACCAAATCTTCAATAATAGAAAACAACGTCAATTACTGAAAGATTTTCCTCCACTGATTCCTCCATTAAATCTTCAATAGTTTTTGTTTTCCTCCGAAACAGAAACAACATTTTTGTTGTTGAGTGTGTTCAATAGTGATTGGAAGCATGTTTGGTAACGTAAAATTTGTTGCAAGATTTTTGGAAGCAATAACATGAAAACATGTTTGGTAAAAAAATGTTGCAAGATTGAGAAACAAAATGGATAGTTAAAAAAGACCATCTAGAGTGTTTTTGTTTTTCTTGTTGGTACTATTCACAGCTACATTGTTTTTTCTACAATGTGAAAACATTAAGAAATACCAAGTTTCTATTTTGGGCCTCTTTTCGGCAACAAATGCAGTATTATTTGAATGACAACAAAATTACCAAACGTGTTGCAGTGTTTTGATTCGCTATAGTACACCACTCGCAACATAGAACACGAAACAGAAACGGTTGCCAAACAGACCCTTAAAAATGAAATAGGTGAGAAAAGCTACATGAAGGCACTCTCACAAGCCCTTAATTGTTGGGTTAGTAAAGTATGAGATCAAACATTCAATCCAACAATTGGGAACATGAGCTTATTGTGGGAGCACCCTCATGATAAATGTGCTCTACAATAAATGCAGTTATTTTCTCCGTGCATAAATACAGTACGTCAACAACAACCAAGCCTCTTTACCAACTACCGGGGGTTGGTTACATAAATCCTATGTTTCCATTCTGCTCTTTTTCTTTGATAAGTATGTTTCCATTCTGCTCTTCATAGGATTCATGTTCATATTGGTCATGACAAAGTTTTACGCTGGCTGTCAAGGTACCTAACACAAACCTCTTTTAACGGGCTTGGGACCGGCTGTGTAAAGAAATACAGGTGGAGTTTCCATGCACAAATACAACATTATCATTAAAAAAAATAAAATCCTTAAAAAAATAAAATAAAGTATATCATGATTGAAAAAAGATTAAGGCTCCAATCAAATAAATAATAGAAAGGATTTGAGTTTCAAATAGGACCATGCTACTTAAACCGAGGACTTAGGCTGAAGTCCTCGGCCAAATAAGTTGCATCCATTAGATGCATATAATGGGACCCAAACTTTGGTTCCACCATATGCATCTAAAAGATGCAATTGCTTCTGCTGAGGACTTCGGTTGAAGTTTTCAGTTTAACTGTCTTTTCAAATAACTCCTATTTTGGTGACTAGAGGGGTGTCCCCATCCTTTGGGTGAGACTAATCCCCTTTGGACTTCAAATAAATCCTTCCACTCTGTTATTTGAAATCCAAACATATAATACATTTGCATATTGTTAAATTTTAACTTAAAATTACTCAGTTTAGATTTCTATTACAATCCATTAAATGATTGAGCATAAATCTATTCCTTTCAAATCCTTCAATCCAAATGTAGCTTATGATTTATACTAATGCGAGTAACATTAATAATTTAATAAAAGACTATGAATTAACTAGATTAGGGAGTAATACAAATTTCCTTCTGTTATATTTGCATTCAGCAACTACCATGCAACTAACTTGCATACACAATATATGCAAATGTTGGCAAAATGGAGGTCTGTCACCAATGATAATTATCAATGATAGGCTCAACTGTAGCCTCCTGATAATATCATCTAGCCATGCTAGTCAATAGGTGCAGCAGAGAAGCAATTCTTCTCACATGCTCTGTACTCTGATCCATCATCAATAACTCAAATCAGCACCCCAAACATTTAAGTCTACTGTTTGTCTGAAGGCATCGGTAATTGAGCTTGAGGTATAGTCCTATTCAACTTTGTTGGATTATGGATTTTTGGTTCTTC